GGTAGATGAGGGACTGGGCAATCGTGTAGTGCCAGTAGGCCTGATCCGACAGGTAGCTGACGTCACGCATACAGCTTCGCACTGCTCCTCCGCCGCTTCGTTTGCGCTGTTGGCCGGCCGTGATGGCTGTCCTGTTTCCTGCGCCACCCAGCGCGGCTGGACGCATTGTTGGCAACAGGAGGTCGCCTTGACTATTTCGCTCCAACAGGGTGCTGCGCAGGCTGACGGGCATCGCGAGACCGACGCAGATGACGAACAGACCAACGATCAGGTAGCCCGTGGCTCTGGGCCGCAGTGGAGTGCCTGGCATGAAGCAGATGAGAAGGAAGCGTTCAAGCGCGATCAGTACAAGTAGACCAGATGAGAATGGGATTATGAAGCCTTTGAGGCCGCCGTGAAGACGACACAACACGACGGTGGCCTCACGGAACCACACCTTCAAGTAGAGCGTGACTGGAATGTCCACGAGGCAGATGACCAGATCGGTGATGCCCAGCAGAATGATCAACAGACTTGAGACGACTGCTCTGCGCGCCTGACGACTGAAGGCCCAAATAACCAACAGATTACCGACTCCACCGACCACGGCGAATGAGCTGAGTAATAATGTGAGCACAATCTGCCCCATTCGGTTGAATCCTGGCATGCCGCCATACGTCTCGGACCCGTTGACCAGATTGCCTGGTGACGAGCTATTTCCCACCGTAAAGACGCTGCCGTTGTACGGCAGAGCGTCGAAGGTGAAGTTCATAAGTTGACAGACATGTGATTCTGGCGGTGACTATTACCGATCTAGTTGGAGCCAAACTGAGGAGTGGTGGGCATCTTACTGTCTCATTGATGCAATGTATATAATTTTTCAGCTCACTTTTGATTGGTCCATACCTGAATCCGGTCATCTGATTGGCTGATAAATCGTTCCAGCCTTGTGATTGGTGATGTCTGTGCGCAGCTCGCGACTTTCACCTAATTACTAATGCTTCTGCTATTTGGCCAAATCGTCAATGATTATCCATATTGAAAGATTTTGATAAGTTATTGCACCCGAATACTGCTAGCAAGCTTAGAGGTCCAAACTCGGCAACAACGCTTCACTTATTGTCTCAACTATGGTTAATGTTGGCTTACTTTTCATTTCATTTGAAGAGGCAAGTGTAAGGGAC